GGAAGGGAAGCAAACCCTCCAAACGCACAGGGTGCAGCGGACCCTGCCATCGCCGCACCCTGCACGCTACTGCAGAGATCTTCCAGCAGTTCGTTTTCCTGGCCCCCGCACCACAACGGCACCGGTCCAGCCTGTTAGTTTGCGTTTGATTATCCCACGTCTCTCGGGAAAGACAAGACTTCGTAGGGGGTGTGACTACCCTGAAACAGAGCTGTGCACTTACTTGACGATTTCAGCTAAATACTTTCAGACAGTTCTCTTGTTAAATCACAGCTGTGTATTAGATAATGACAAATATTTGACTTGAAAGGGCTCTATGACAGATCTGAAAGGAGCTTAAATGTTAGTGCGATATTGATACACCATTTACATGCTCCGAGCAGTTTGTTACAAATAATTCTGACTCCATAAATGGAGTGTCACTTCTAGAAAACATTAACGTCAGTTTAGTATGGTATCACGGAAAGTTTTTCCTTGTATAAAAAGAGAAATTAAATCCTTTCTGCCAAATGCATTCAGATTCCAGGTATTTTTCTTGATGATACCAAGCAAAACAGAACTATTGATGTAAGAGTGAATTAACCAATGGGATAACAAGTATCCCATTGTTTCACTAGACAGTAACAAGAATTTACAGCAACCTAAAACATGAATTATGTATCACTAACAGGTTTGTGTAGTGGTGATTTTGGAGATAAAGGTTTTCTATTAAGTGCAAATAGGATACCAGTAGTATTTTCTTCATGTGAAGAAAAGCCTTAGCTATGAATTCTCACCTGAGAAGGTAGTTTTGAATCTGAATTCACATTAAAGGAATTAACAGTGTTTGGTCCTGACTCCAAAGTAACTTCTGGTTTAGGGAAGAAATTGGCAACAAATAAGTAAGGAGTAGCATTAATCCATGCCTGTATTCCCAAAAAACTCACCTCACAAGACTATACTGAAAACCAGTAACTTCAGTAAGATTTAAATTTATCTAAAACTTCCCAAGTTTTTGCTTTCACCTATCTAAAATGCAGTACATATCTCGGGGGCAATTTTAACTTAATTTTCCAGTTCTACCCTCAGCAAGTGAGGCTACAAAACATCACACGATTAACATCTTGAAAACAGACACGTCTGAGTCAGGATAAAATGTTTAAGCACCCCTTTGTCAAAGAACAATCATCATCTTGCAGCTCTGATTCTCCACCCACATAGCGTGGGAGGAAAATCATGTATCCTGTAAACACAAAACAGTAACACAGCAATGAGAGAAGTATTTTTTTCTTAATCTGCGACCTTTCTCCCATAGAAGAGATTGCACCACAACCTGCATTTTAGATGTGACATACTCAAAGCTTCATTTCATGACACACAATACTTGTTAAAACTTGAACTGATAAAAACTCACCGTTCTTTTCTTTGTGCTGCCCTCGTGACGACACTCTAACAAGCTTCATAGGTGACTGATCATCATCACAAAATCTACTACGTGCTCTTTTCTAGCTCTTCTAATCCTTGTGCAACACATCGAGTTCAGAGCATTGGTATCTTCCCACAAAATTGCCACCTAATAAGCTACATTTAAAAAGAAATCTGAGTCCACACCAGTTTCTTATAAAAAAAAAACTTCAAAGTTGAACTTTTTCCATGGGGAAAAAATACCTAATGCCTTTCTTGTGAATTACAAAGCTTTGGTTTGTCTCTAAAAACCAGTGTAACAGTTTATTTTCCAAGTCCACTTAGTCTTAAAATAATGAGTTCCTGCTATTTTTCTCTTATTCATTTGTTGAAACTACATTTACACCGCAGCTTTCACCCTTAGCTTTCAGCTTGGGAAAACTGCTCTCCCATTAGTACCTACACACTAACACTGTGCTATTGTTGACACTGCAGCAGCTGTTACTCTCTTAAATTCCACTGCAACGTTCAAGACTTAAAGAAAATAAATAAGACTAGGAACACAAAACATGGACTGAAGTTAACTTTCCTGTCCCATTAATTCCTTGTCAGCTTTATCACATAAACCAACAGATGTAGGCAGGTGTTGGGAAACTCCTTTCAATGGGAACAGTAAAAACAAAAAAGGATGAAAAAATCCCGAATGGGCACTGCTGCAACTTAGGCCTGTGAAATACGACAGAAGCAGCTGATTTTCCGCTTACTTTACTTACTACCATTAACTGAGCAATGCTCTTGAGGCACCACGTTCAGGGCAGCTGTTGAGTACAATGGTGAATCTTGACGGTGAATCCTTTCTTCAACCTCAAAACCAAAAGAGACTTCCATGTCTTGCGGCGCAGAGTTGTGATCATTCTGGACGCGCCCACCGTTTCACGCTGGCCACCATTGGAGACTCCTGCAGCAGCTCATGCTCAAACGATGAAAATACGTAACCCAGCAGGACTTCTCTCACTGCTTACAGTTGGTAAAGAATTTGCAACTTTTTAATGGCTAAATCAGTGGCTCAGGACCGGCTTACTAACTAAAAAGGAGTATTAGGGGGACACTAATATCCTTCAAAATATCCTCTGCAAGGCTGTGCAATACCATCCTTCTATAGTACTCGGTTACTTCTTTTATAAGAAAGTGAATTCTTGCAATTCAGAGGAACACAAGGATACCTAAACACTTTACGAAACTCTTCAGAACTATGGAAAAAAACCCAACCCTTAAATTCTATAAATGGTGTTTCACCACCTATTACCCAATGCTAATTATATTAGCAATTTCCTCACCACATACCCACGCAAACTATGATTCTACGTATGAAGACTTGCTCTGAGAAGTCGTAAATCAACAGAAACACAGGTTTACAAATTTTCAATTTTGAAATTTATTTCGAACTCAGGGGTTAAGCGTGATAAGGTTCCAATTGTCTGATAATAGCATACCCATGTCACTATCACGGAAATTGCACTAATTCCCTCTGCCCCCCTCCCCCTTAGAAATCTGCAGGTTGGTTTTCTTAACAGCCAATGGTTTTGCAGATAGTGCGCTCTAGGACACTACTGCATTTCCTGAGTGTTCAAAGCTACTGTATGATACATTAAGCTGAAGGAAAAACAAGAAAATTATCATTCAGAACTAAACCAGCTATTTCACCTTACTGCTGAAAGACGGAATCACAAAACGCAATGTAGTTTAACAGGAGATTGTTTTGGAATGCTTAAAAATGGGGGAAAGAAAAAAAGCACCTTTTAAAAAAATTATATCCTTTTTACTTCAATTTTAAACGAAATAATTTTTAACTTCAAGTCATTAACCTCAAGACTATTAAAAATGGCCAAAGAACGCAAGACTCTCTCAGACTGAAATATCGTTGGGACTAAAATATCCATGTCGGTATTCCTTGACCTTTTAGGGTATTCCTAGTGGCTCTAACAAAAGCAGCATAACAGGGTATCTCTGGTTTGCGTTTATCTTTTTAGTGCTCTTGAAAACGAGTTACTAACAGCACTGACCAGAGTGCTTAAACACAGGATTTCAGAGAATCGCTCTGCAATGCACTTCAGCTTTATCGTGCAAAACCAACCTAGTCATAAACATCCCCACATTAAACACAATAAATTGTGCTGAAGTACGCGATGTGAATGAATGCCAGCTACTTTATCAACGCGTTGACAAATGGCAGCTCATCTCTCAAGCGTTGTTCAAGCCCACAGGAAAATTTCGTTTGTCAGAACTGAACTCCTCCACGGGCAGACTGCATAGTCTATGTAAGTTACCAGCTTTCGTCCAGAAAAATCTCTTCAGAGTTGTATTTGCACTGGCAAACAGGTTTAGATGAGAGTTTCAGCCTTCTAAATTCACCATCAGTAAAGAAGTCCCACCATCTGCCAGTGGGGTTTTCCCAGGAAAGACCACAACCACTTCTCGATCCAAACAAAGCTGAAGCAGGGGCAGCTGATGGAAACGCTAGCTAAGTTGTTCTCGCATCATCTTTCATGATGCATTAGATTCATTCTCATTTACAGATGATTTTGGCAGAAGGGCTCTTCAAGCTGTGGCTGAACAAAAAGAAACTTCTTGTCTCAAGTTTAATCTTTTTGTTGTTGGTTTGTTTCCTTTATGGAAACTTGTTTTGAACAAAAACCTGATAGTACAGGCAATGTACCAGCAGGAACTACCAGGAGATGATGTGTTCCACTCTAGTATTATGTCAGTGGCTAGCCAATCCTTTTCCCCTAAAATATTTGTAAAAACACTGGAAATACCTATGAAATTTATAAAACAGCTCCTTAAACATCTGCTTAATGCCCTTTCCTTCAAATATAAAAGACCTCCACGTTTTAGGGTCTTTTTCTGTGGATGCAAGGGAGAGGTTGAGGAAGAGGTAAAAGATAGGATAACTGCTATCTTTTCAATTGCTATTTTACAAAATTTAAATGACTACTACCCTAAGGATTAAATACAGACTTCGCATAACCAATCACAACCATGGAAATAAACCATAACTGAAATCATATAAAATCCATATCAGGTCAAGTGACAGTACATTAAGAACAGCCTTATGTGTTATACAGAAGATAATATACACGGATCGTAACAGTTATTCTTCCCCTTGAAAGCCACTGTCAGCAGGAGCAGTCTTACTGTACAGACGAGTGACTTGAATATCTGTAGTTACTAACGGGGAAAATTCAGGTTATGAAAGAAAAATGTATCAAGTACACCTTTACGCACGTCTATGCTATGATTTAAATTAAAAACCTTAAGCCTTCTCCTACATACTCCATTTTCAACCTAAATGGAGTATCGCCGGCAGCATACAAACCTTGAGAGGGCACTTCTAATCTAGTTAGTATAACTATGGTAAAGGACAGCTATCTTACAAAGGAGATTAAGGTCAGATGTTTAGAAACTTCAACAATAAGAGAAAGTTAGAAACCCTAAACAGCTACTCGTATTTAACTATAATTACCTTTTAGAGACCATCAGACTAAACTCCAGTATTTTCTATGGTCATTGTATTAAAAGAAAGCTCTACCACACCTAAAGGATAAGGCATAGCCATCTACTAATTGGCATATTTGTTTATTTGTCTCAGTTTGTGAAAACGTCCTTATCTGTGTAAGCAGCAAAACAAACTTCAACTGAATGATTGCTATATGCAAAAGGACTGAAGGCAATTGCCTCTGCAGTGAACTTTACAGTTCTCAACAGCACACACGCAACATGCTATCTGAAAAAGGTTACTAACTGAACTACATGTATTAAATACTGAAAAAAGTTTTACATTTTTTTTTAATTATAATTTATTTTATTTAACAATCTAAGAAGTTTGCAGCCATCAGAAGTTCCAGTGCAATTTCAGGTGCAATGGGGAATTCAGGAATCTCCGTAGAGCTGTTAGTATAGCGGACCTTGTAGGTGAAATACATGCATACTTTGGATAGGACATGGGATGGGATCTCTCTAAAATTCACCTCGTTCGTTTCATTTTCTGCAAACTGTCCTGTAGAGGGGAAAAAAACCACAACAAAACACCAAAACAAAAATCAGAATTTTGATTCACTGCAAAATAAAACACTTTACCATACTAATACAACACATTCTAAAGAGACCCATATTGCTGGGTGTCAGTCTTCAGTGTAACGCAGGATGTGCCACATTCACAACCCTCAAGAACAGCAAGACGCTTTGCATTACATGTTTATTTTGTCTGCGGCCTATTAACGATAATCTGAAAGACTACACCAGAAATTTAGGTTTAATTCAGATGCTCGCTTGATAGGTACTCTGAAACTGTAGTGTGCTCAGCTCTAAAGGTCACAGTAACAATGTTAATAAAAATAAAAAAAACCAAACAACAAAAAAAGGCTTCAATCCAAATTTCCAGCTGTCCTATCGAAGAATGAAAAAATCTGGTTTATAATGTTCCATATCTGCACATGCCCACTTGTCAGTCCTCCCTTCTGTGATCCCACTAACTCTGAACTTGTCAGTTTCAGGCAGATTTGACTGAGAGTTGAAACCCCAAGGATACATTAACTCGGTAAGCTGTGAAAACAAGGGGGTAGGAGGGGCAGTCAAACCCTAGTTGTACTGGAGGAAAAGGTACATACAGTATGAGTTTATCCCTATTAGATTTTGAAGAATTTATCCAAAGCTCAAATCTCAAAACAAAAGTGTATTTGAAATCAGCTTTTAGTGCCTATAAGCATGGAGCTTGGATGATATGAAGTCATCCTGTGGTTAGTCCCACAGCCCTTCCACTGTTACTGTTAGCTTTGTCCCTCTTCCCCTCATCTCTCTGGACTTTCTCCTCACTGAGCTGAAAGAGAAACACAAAAACCACTAAGGTACTCCGTATTTATGGGACACCTCGCAATGTTTGGTTCCCACTATTTCTATAGGAATCCCCTTCTAACTACAAAGCAGAGCTGTTCACTAATGTCTACGCACATTGGGGTAGGAATAGCTGCGTGCACTGAAGCTAATCTGGCTTGAATTCCAGTAGAGGAACAGCAGGAAGCAAGAGAAGAAATGTTAGCATATTAGCAGCGTGACAGTACTGAAATAGGGAACACACATCAGTGAAATGATGACCTACTGAAGTAGACAGCAAGAGTACTTTTCCTTGTGGACCCACTTATCTTGCTAGTTTTTATACAAAATGTGCTTGAATGTTGACTCCTTCACAGTCAGTTTTCCAGCCCTCTAAGCAGGCTGCTGCACCTTTTGTTTCTTCTCATTGTTTGTGGAACAAAATCAGAACAGCTCCGTTAACTACTCTTCATCTCACAGGTCTGCGAGGCTGACACAAGAGATCTGCTACGTATTTTCAAATGCAACCATTAGAGTGACATTCAGCAGAGTATTAAACTGAGAGCTTTAGTAATAGTTGGGCAAACTGAGCAATAAAGTAATTGAAAAACATATTAAGCAAATAGATCTCTCCAGTAATCGCCCTCTCTAGAACCTAAAAGAGAATCTAAGAATGACCATATTCAGATCAGAGCTCCACGCAGCCTTCTGCCCACCACTCAAGTGGCCAAAGGTCAACGTATGGGCTGAGGGTACAGAAGAAGGAAAGCACACGTGTTAACTTCACCCTGTTCTCTCCTCCACCCTTGCAAGTCTTGAAGAATTAGTTCAGACACTTCTTAAACCTGAGGTAGTCTCAGATATTCAGTAACACATGAGGTCCTGCCCTTAAATTCATCGACTGTCCTCTCAAACTTGAGCTAACTTGTGTCACTAAGCCCCAGAACTCCTTGCCGTCGGGTCTCGTGAACACGTTGTGGCCTAAACCCCAGCAGACAGCTGAGCACCAGACAGCCACTTGCTCGCTTCCCCCCGCAGTGGGACATGGGAAGGGGAAACCAAGAGCAAAAGCAAGTCACAAATCTAAAACAGGGAACCGTGTGACCTGCATGGAGAAAGTTAACTCCAACCCAGCCAGACCCAGTCCAGAATACTAAATGTCCCACCATGGAAGTGGCAGTGAAGAACTACCAACTCTTGTGAGTTTTGAACTTGATTGCTCACATGTAGTTACACGAACTACATGTTTTGTGTAACACCCCCAAGCTCTCATACCATGGGAAACTAGTAGTAATGACACTAAGATCGCTAACCACCCAAAACCAGACAGAGGTCAAAGACATGGCTGGTAGTACAGCACCCCACGGAGGTGGACTGTTCCAGTGGAAATAGGAACTAGTCAGGATCTGGAAAAGCTACCATTTATTCCAACTTTCACTCGCTGCATGATATAAATTAAAATTGTTCATAAACAACAACAAAAAAAGGATATGAAGGTACTAAATATTTTGTACATACCTGGTCCACTCAACATAGCTTTTATTGTTCCTGATGTTAATGCATGCTCTCTTTTTACAATGAACTCATGGCCATCAGAGGATATTAACTTCACGTACATAGCATCTGGGCCCTCACACCCACCGTATGTTTTCTCTTCTCCATCTATAATGGAAAACAGATTAACAGTTTCAGAACACGACAACTGATTCACATCACTAAGAATGCAAGGTGCAGTCTTTACTATGACTAGGTTTGCAGGCAGAAGAACCCAATACAACCAGAAATAAGACAGAAGCATTTTGCATATTTGATGATGACTTCTCTGAAGCACTCAGTAATCCATTTTAAAGTAAGAATCTTAAAAGAGGAATTTTTAATTAACATCTCTCCTCTCTCATTTCTCCATCACCAAATTCTGACATGATTTCTAAAATCTACATAGGGATGAAATTTTCCTTTAGACATTTTCAAATGAATTGAACATGATACTGCTTCCTTCCATAAGGTGACTGTCATGTTCATCATACCAGCACTTACTAGAAGTTAGCTAAATACCTATCTAAGATTTAAAAATACAGACTGCAAGGAAAAAAACAAAAGAGCTTTTTGAAGCACAGGTAAGACTAAAACCAGTCAGTACTCTTGTACTGAAAAATGACATGAACTAGGATTAATGCTCCCCCACTGCCGAGCCAGACCCAGAACCATATAGCGGTAGTGCACACCCGCGTTGTGACCTTTGGTGGACAACAGGGTAAGTGCAAAAGCATTAAACCCAAGGAAATTTGGAAGTTCTCCCCACAGCAGTTTTGACTGTGATTTTTTAGTTTTTCCCCTTCTGTCTCACTATATACCCACTCTCTACTCCATTTCTCTATAAGCCCTTATACTCCCTTCATTATTCTCTCCAACCATTGCTATCTTTAAAAGCTGAAGAAAAAAAACAAAACAGTATTACTGTTGCCACCACCCACTGTCCACCTCTGTGCAGACTTCACGCCTTCCCCATCTTGCACCTGTCTTGTCTATTTAGGCAGCACGCCCTCCAGGGTAGGAACCACCGACTACTTTGTGCCTGTATAGTGCTCAGCACTACAGGACACCATCATGCTGAGGAGACTGTCTCCGTAGTTGGCCTTTGTATGTTCCTGTAAACTTTTAAGTAATAAAGACTGCAGTAATATTAAAATATTAAAAAAAAAAAAAGTAAAAAAAACCTCCCACCCCACTAAATACACAATTCCTATCAAATTCAAACTGGAAAGTTAACGCCTTCCTTCAAATCCTGTATTTTCTAAGAGATGAATACAGCAAATATTGCTAGTACTCCATTTTAAAAAAATGCTTGAATTTGTCACTGCACAGAAAATATGATTTGACAGAAAGTTAAAAACAACAGTCCTGAAAGTTATTCCAGCTTGGAAAAGTATAACAGAAGAGATCTGTACACTTCTAGAAAAGTAGCATACTTCCAGTATTTCATGACTATATACAGAAGCATGAAAGGTAAGAGATACAGACTACAAACTTCACATTTGATTGTCAGTGTTGTTTCTCCTTCTGACAAAACAAAGATGAGAAATTATATGAGAATAAGCACCTTGCACTGTGTCTAGTGTTATAGCAAATACATCCTCCCAGTCAACTAAGTTGCTCTGTGAGTCTGAAGTTAAAACTGAATTACCATGTAGTTATTGCCAATTTCAATGAAGTAGTGCCAGCGTCAAGCATGCTAACATACATCCAGAAAATGTATAGATAAAACCAGAATCTGCTCAATCACGTGTCATTTACCAGTCATTTGTAGAGGCAGATACGACAGTTTCAGACATTTAGTCAGATCACAGACACAATGTAGTTTATCAGAAATCAGTCCTCATTACGATCTCTTAGCCAGAATTCAACAGGCTGACCTTAGTTAGCAAACAAAAAAATATTTTAAACCGTACGTAGCAAATTTTTCTTGTCCACTCTCTAAAAGATTAGTGCTATAAAAGCCTAGAGGCATCCCATTTTAGCATGTACATTTTCAGCACTATGCATATTAAGCAAGTGAAATTTATTGAGATAGATGTACTCGACAAATGAACAGTCACCTGAGAAAAATCCTCCTAAAAAGCACCTGTAGGAAGTTTCATTAACTTTTCAGGCTACAAGAAAACAGTTAAAGTCTTACATCGGGAGAGGAGGTAAGACAGAAAAGGTTTCACATTATGGGGGAAGAAAACACCCAAACTTCTAAGATGATGAACTTACCCATTCTCTTCTTATATAAAAAAATTGTTTCTTTTCAACAGCAGCTTTTGCAATAGGAGCGTCTGAAAAAACACAAGTGGCAATATTTTCAGTCAGCAGTACAATTCTTAAGCCAGCTTTAGTTATTAGCCTTTATGTTACCATAAACACTCCAGAAAAGGATATAAGGATACACAGCATGCAGTGTTGATGAACATTGTTTTGAAACTTAGCGTTGCTGCCCAGACATCTCTACCATATCGAAGAATCTCTAAATTTTAGCTTACTCTGAAAATAATAATTGTTCTCCTAAGCTTTTTAAAACTCTTGACTGTAAAGCCAGAGTTACTGCAAGAGCCTTATGGCTTTTATCACTAGGGACACCACCCATGCAATGGTGTTGCAAAGGTAAAGAAAGTCGGTTTTGCCACACAGCAAACGGCACTTAAGAGACTGAACAGCTCGTCTACAGAAAAAACAAGTCAGAGAACAGTTCACTATGCTGTGAATAGAGACGTGGTTGTCCTGCCATCCAGAGGGACCTTGACAAGCTGGAGAAAGGGGCCAACAGGAAGTCTATGAAGTTTATCAAGGGGAAATGCAAACCTCTCCACCTTAGGAAGGATTATCCCAGGCACCAGTACCAGCTGGAGGCTGACCAGCTGAGAAGCAGCTCTGCAGGACAAGACCTGGGGGTGCTGGTGGACACCAAGCTTAATGTGAGCAATGTGCCCTTACAGCAAAGGCAGCCAACAGCACCCTGGGCTGGCAGAGTCACCAGCACGCTGAGACAGATGGTCCTGCCCCTTCACTCCACTCCACTCAATCCAGCTCCAGTCTCCCCAGTACATGCCAGGCTGGACTGAGTGCTGCAAAGGGCCACAGAGATGACCAAAGGATTGGAGCACCAAACACATGAGAAGCTGACAGAACTGGGGTTGTTTAGGCTGGAGAAGAGAAGGCTCAGGGATCAATCTAATCAGTGTGCACTAAATACCTGGCCTCCAACCTGTCCTTCTCAGAAGATTGACAGTTCCTGATACAGCCACCAATGTCACCTAGATAATCTACTTCAAATATTTAATGTGGGTATTCACATGGTAAGTTAACCAAGAGCTTCCATAGCTTATAAATCGACATCCAGCTTGCTACATACGTATTTGCCCATGTAAGTGAATCCAAAGAGTTAGAGAAATAGAAGCACTTATTTGCAAAACAAATCCGGTATGTTCAGATACAACAAATATTTCTTTACACTGGACTGCACCTCTGCTGTGGAAAGAATACTTTGGAAGAAAAATTCCACCCAGCTACTGTCCTAAAGTTCCTTTCATGTCAACAGCTACTCTCCAAACATTAACTCAGCACAAATCAATGAACTCCAGTTGTGTGCCCACAAGTTGGGGAAAACAGCACCAGTGATTCTGGGTGGTTTCCCAGCCAGTATCCAGGGTTGGGGGCAGCAAAGAGACTGTTGAGAATTCTGACAACCCATGCTGTTGCTTCAAAAAGCAACAAGTAACAGCAGAGGCAGGAACTGTGATTACTCACTAGAGAAGGACTCCAGAGTGGGAAGTGTGAAAAAAACCAGACTACAGACCACTCCTCCCATCCCCCCCTTCTATGTTTCTGGTAAAAGCTTAGCAAAAAATGTAAGCAAGTTAAGGAAGGAGCTGCAAGATTTGGAGGAAGTTTTACAGAGCTCTCTGCATCTCTTCAGTGTTGCCGATAGCTCACTTCTCAACAGCACTTTGGTGTTGCTTTGGTCCTTCTCCCTTTTCCATAACTACAAATATGAAATAGCCTGAATGTTTCCTCAAGTTTTAACAAGAAGGCACTTTGTTATGCACACCTAATCAAACTACATATGCATAACCAATAGCTTTTAGTTGTCTGTAGAGAACCGAGCAAAAAAATACCTTCCACTCACACTGTTGTTGTCTTTGGAAATTATCCTGACTTTACAGAAATATTTTACAAGGTATTTTCCTTCCCCACTGGTATAAGGAATATCTTCACCTGTACCCTTGGATGTGGAAAATTCCTGAATATAAGGCACATTCAAGAATGCCCTCTGAGAGCTGTGTATGCTGTCACAGAGATACCTTAATATTGAGTGTTAAATGCCTTCGCAATTTTCAATAATTCCAGGAACTCATCCAAGGAAATTACGTTCAGGTGCTGGAACAGTTGCGACACAAAACTGATGGGATCTTTCATCCTATTTCAACAGTTTCTGTAAATGAAGCATCTTACTGGACAGCATCTGTTGCTCAGGAACTGATGGGATACCTTATGTTAGTATTTCTACTTGGCAGAAGAGGACCCACTTGTGCTACCTCTTTGTCTATCCCCAAAACTCTTTCCTACATTATAAAAGAGTAGTGAAACCACTTATGATTTATAAATAATAGTAATTAAAAAAAACCACCACAGAAGTGATACCATTTTATGGAGGTACTGGTGATGATAAAACATGCTTCAATTTCCAATATGAACAATGTAACTAAACACAGGAATAAAGACAATTAGTGGGAATGAAAACATATTAACACCCTGCAAAATAAAAGTGTAACTTGAGGAGGCGAACACATTGAAGCTGGGTAACTGAAAAAACGTCTACACCAAAACACTGTCCCAAAACACGTCCCAGAAAATCACAATGAGAATTTTAATAAAATTATATGAAATGTGGCATCATATGATTAGAGACAAAAAAAAATTACAGGAGTTAACACTTAAAGAAGGAAAAAAAAAGTATCAGGCTCAGTGGTCTGAATTCAATTGTATTAGAAGGGAAACAGGATAAAAACGCAGTAAGCATTACCAGATTTAGGATATGCTGGACTAATCCAATACCTAAAAAAAACCCCTATCGGTCATTTCTTTGAAAAGAGAAAACTCAAGAAAAATGCAATCTGGACTCAGTAAATCATCTGACGTTAAATAAATATGTTAAGAGGGTAATTTTAAAATGAGAAAGAAACTTTCTACAAGAATACACTATGATGTGGCAGGCATGGAACAATTAGATTAGAAAAGAACTACCAATTCCTCCAAAAATTATACTTTTTTTTTTTTTTTTAAACACTGCTGCCAGAAAAGAATAGGTAGATTCTTAGATGAGACAGAAGTGGAAAGCGCACACAAGTGACTGGTCTTGAAACATGACATATGGGAAGCCACATGAAATGAAATCATATGAAACGCAAGATCCCTGCACGTAGAGACCGATACAAGCTGCTTTTGTGTAGTCAGGGCTTTATCTGGGAGTATAGTCATTGTGTGGTCAAGAGCTCTGTGGGGGCAAAAAAAAGAAGTGGGGGGAGGGGGAAGGAGGGAAGAGGCAAATGCATGTCAAGGATTTCTTTGCCATAGAGAGCGAAATACAAACACTGTTGCACACGAGCAGCAACTTGTCTGAAATACCACGCACAATTCTGAATTCCTGTTTTCAAGAAAAAGTTCTAATTACAAGAACTCCAGGAAGGAGCTACTGATATGACCAAAGAGCCTGTTGTAGAAAGAAAATTCAGCCTTGCTTACTCAGCTTAGCAAACTAAAAGTGGAATGAAGATAAACATGAGAATTCATTAAAAGGATAAATATCAAAGAAGAAGTACCCCAACATTATCCCTCAGTTTAAGTCCAAAAAATGAACATAAACTAAAATGAGAATATAATTTATACTGCTATTTCATAATCTAAGTTTAGTTCTGAATACAGAACAAAACTAATATTCTTTTGCCAAAAGATGCAGAAAGCCTACCTGGTTTTAAGAAAAAGACATCATACACTCCATGACATGCGTAAGCAAGGGATGCAGTTTAGTTACACTCATTTGTATTCTGCTGTAACAATCCGTCATTGGCCTGTTACCATCTATTGGTTCCCACTTCCTTGGGACCAGGAAGTGTTCAGTGTGCCACCACACTTCATGAAAATTCAAACATACTGCAGTTCAAAATTATTATTTTGTGAAAAGCGTCTTTTTTCCCCCCCACAACTACACTCAATTAACCTGAGACAGTATTGACATGATCTTGTGCAAGCCACAGCATATTTTTTCACTCAACTCTATTACTGGTTTACACTGAAAACATGCAATATGCGATACATTTGATAGAAATCCTGATTTGTTATTCAACATCCCTCCAAACAAGAAAAATAATGCACATTGAAAAGAAATTAGAAAGCTGAAGGATGTAGAAATCCCTGCCACACACAAGTTATTGCTCCTGTCTAATTTTCTGCACAATTTTTTTTTTTAATTGACTTTAAGCATTAAATGATAGGTTAGAAACAGGAAAAGTCAAGTGACCTGGGATGTTACTAGAAATTCTTTTCTTAAAAGTGAATTTTCTAATACACCATTTACTGCAAAACATGTCACTGTATTTTCCTTCTGTAAAATGAAAACAATATAAATTACAACATTTGCCAAGGCAACAGAAAGAGGGAGACTTGGTGAGATTTCTGAAGATGCCTGGTAACTACCTATATTTCAATTACTTTTCCACATTTTACAGCTGCCTCTGTCTGACTTCACCAAGACTACACCAATGCAGCAGTAGGGAAGAGAACAAGCCAAGTTTTCAGAACACTCAAATATTTGCCTTTTTAATTATGTATTTCTGATCTGACTATTTCAGGCACCTGCAAAGAACCATTAATTTTTGTTGAAGTACACTCACAATTCGATTTCCCCCTTCAGGAAGCTTATGTGGCATTACCAACTAGGTAGCTCAGCTCCCTGCTTTTAATCTCAACAGCAAGCACGTATATTAGGTATTATTGTTCTCCTGCCTTGCCTCCTTACATAAAAAAGGAGCAAAACCTGCAGTTGGTAAGAGAAAGATTACCGAAAAAGGATATGCCACTTTTTAATCAATAAGAACACAATACAACTAAACCCAGCGTATTTGGCACAGAAACTTTCCAACCAGTCCAAAAAGGAAGTTCTTGCTGCATGAAACACAAAATTTTCGTTAGATATTAGAGAACTGAAAATTTTCACAAGTTGCTATAATATTTACACCTAGGTAGAATATAGCAAAGTATCATAAAACACGATAGTTGACCCC